TCGATTTTTTTGTGTATTTCTGCACTTTTTTTCGCTAATTTTATCCAGCTGTGGCCTGTAGTTTCGCTAATTTGATGTTTAAGCTCATCTTAAAGTTCTTGGAGCTGTGTTATGCATTGAAGGTTTTTTAATTTGATAGTTGAGGAATACGTTTTATTGGTCTTTTACGAGTTAATCAGGTTTTTCAAATTCTGGTTTATATTTTTTCGTGGAGAATGAAGGTAATAAAGGACTTAAACATTAAATACTAATAGAATTCTCTGTTTGGCATTGGTTCAGTCAGGTAAAAAGAAAATAATTTCGTGATTAAAAATTATTTACCAAGACAATGTGAATTTTCTAATCGAAACGCCATTTCTAAATTTGAATTTTAGAGTTATTCATTCTTCTATCAGAATGTTCTAAATGTAGCTTAAATCACGGAATTAGAGTAGTAAGCCTTTCCAAACTATTATAGTCAACATTCTCTGCAATACACTTCTAACTTCTAGAATTTGAAAATTTTCTTTAGACTTTGAAGTTCTCATATATGCATATCCATTTCATTTCATTTACCTTTTATATGAATTTCTTTATACCAATGGAAGCACTGTTTGATTGTTTTTCTATTTTTAAGTTTGAATATTGCAAGCCATTGAAGAATGTCTTCTCTGGAGAACTGTAAAAAGCTACAAGTCCAAATCCAACCAATGAATGGACAGGAGAATTTGCCTTCACCAATGGACATCTCACCAGCATATATCTCACCAACATCTCCAAAGGATATCTGCCCTCGATATATGGATGAGCCTCAACACCAAGAGGAAAGAAATACAACCTCACAGGTGTGAGATTGAATACTATATTTGCTTAGGTTATTAGCTTATCTTATGTAGCTTAGTGTGAGAAGACATTTGACCAATTGACATCATTCTTGACAAATTGACATCATTGCAGATTGATTCATTGGTGGATGAGGCATCCCAACTTTTGAAGATGAGGATAAGGCATCATGCCTTCTCTGCACTAAAAAAAAATTGAGGAGCTTATGCAAATAGGGTCAAACCCTCCTCAAATGCTTGAGATGAAAGCAACAACTTTTTTCATTGTAAGTATATATACTTTACTCTCTGATATTTTAGTTAATAGAATGGCTGTTCAAATTGTGTTTAAATGTTAATTGTGCAGATTGGAGAGTATGACATGAATCATTGCAGATACTCAGATGCAATTACAAATATTACTACTGCCATATCTTTCAAAGGAGGCTCACCTCAATTTCTACATAATTGTTTCATGAAGCTTGGCCTTGCCTACCAAAATGAAGGCCAAATCATCGATGCAATCTCGGATTACAGCCTTGCAAAGGCTTTGAATCTCAAATCTTTTGAGGCTATTAACATCAAATCTTTTCTTGAGGTTCTTTCTGATTTTCTATGTCTTATGTTTTACTTATTGTTATTGTTACTTAGTGTTATTGTTACTCATTGTTATTTATTTTTGTAGGCATCATGTAATATAGCCACTCTATATCTTAGGATCAACGCTTATGGATAAGCGTCGAATGTGTTGCAAAGCATCATTCCTGTTCTTGAAACAAGCCCTGAAAACTTCAATTTATATTAGCAAACCTTAGCCACTCTAGCATGGAGTTCTGACCTAAAATCCAAACCTGAGTTGGACTGTTTCCAGATTTTGTAAGTTCTGATAGTCCATCATCAACTTCATATGCAATTCATTAAAAAGATGTTAAAACTTAACTTCATAGTCCATCATCAACTTCACAAAACAACAATGCATCAACTTCAGAAAACAACAATCCAAAAACAAGAGACCAATCCAAAAAGTGTGACAGACTTAGAAATTGTTTCTATGATATGTTCCTTTTGAACCCTTTTCATCATCCAAGTAAAGGAGACCAATCCAAGTAACATATCGAGGTTGAAAAGGAACACACTTTTTGGATGATGAAAAGGGTTGAAAAGGAACATATCATAGAAACCAGGGACGGATCCACCATGGGGGCACCGGAGGCACGTGCCCCCACTCAAATCCTTCAGGCTCGTGCATGAAAAATTAATCTAACGTGTTTTATTTTTGTAGTTGTACAGCTACTAAATAACACCATTATATAATGGGAAACCCATTTAAGGAGAAAATGTCAAGTGGCTTAATTCATGCGTGCCACTTGTTAAGGGACAGATCCACCAATGGGTACGTGCCTCCACTCAAATCATTTAGCCCAATTAGTCTATGTTGTTTTATTTTTGTAGTGCCCAAATGTCCAATTTGGGTCTAAACCTTTTCGGACTTGCTCAATTTGAGCCTAAAACTTTAAAGTGCACCAAATTGAGCTTAAACGCTATCGAAATCAACTAATTTGGCCTTAAACTAGACAGTGTTCTGGCTGTGAAACGCACGCGCCGTTACCGTTTCAATTTTTAGGCTCAAATTGGTCACTATTTGAAAGGTTTAGGTTCAAATTGGGCAACTTTTAAAATGTTTAGGCTCAAATTGGTGGCTAAAAATTCGAGGTGGACGCGTATTTTCTTTCACTAACACGTGCTTTCTAGCGCGTGGACTTCAATTCCAAATTTTTGTCTAAATTAGGCCCAAATTGGTTGGTTTTGGAAACCTTTAGGCCCAAATTGTTACGTTTTAAAAGTTTGGACTCAAATTGAGTAAGTTGGCAAACGTTTAGGCCCAAATTAAATATTTGGCCTTTTTTGTAGTTGTAGACCCGCTAAATATGAGAAAATCCAAAAAAGTATAGTAAAAAATTAAATAATCACGCATTAACTATAAAACACAATAATATTTTCTATAACCGGTTCCAGTTGGTCACTTGTATATCTTGTTCTTTTATATTTTAAAATTTCGTTTTTATCATCTCAAGTCATAGTTAACTTCATACTCTTTCTTACGAGACTCCGATAAATTTTCTTCTATACTTTTTTGTTTGTTTGTTAAACCAAGGGTATTCCTATTACTTTGGATGAAGATTAATCTTTTTCGAGTTGAAAGATTAAAACTCTACCGACAAATGTGCTTTCGGAGATCTAACTTGTGTTCTCACCTTGTTCAAGTGGATACCACCTCAACCAATCACTTGTTGGTAATACATTTTTTTCTTTTTCTTTCCTTTAAATATGCTTTGTAGTATTTACAATGAGAATAGTTTACTTCGATTAAATTAAAAATTATGATAACTCGTAGAATTTTTTTTAATATTTTCATTTGATATAATTTTTTATACATTTCATTACATTATATATAGTTATTTAAAGATAAATTATATTTATTTTTATATATAAATTTGATAGTATAGTGTGCCCACATTACATAAAATTCCTGGATCCGTCCCTGATAGAAACAATTTCTAACTCCAAATTGATCTTTTTATTTTTTTGGTAAAGAGGAGGGCCAAGCCCTTAGACAAAAGATTACATTAATCTAGGGAATGCTACTCCCACAGCATCAGCCATCAACAGGTTGATAATGACTGTTGGGGGAGTATGAAAAAGTAAAAGACCTTCCATCGGTACCCTATTGTTTTCCGCAAGCTAGTCAGCAACAAAATTATTCTGTCTAGGCACATAATTGATTGTCCAATTCCAGTACTTTGCCAGCAAATCTCTGACTGATTCCAACACACAATATAAAGGGTGGTTCGAACTAACACCCTCTTTGATCATATTAACCGAAGTGGCTGAGTCAGATTCAATCTCTAAGTTTCTGATCCCTTTACTCCATGCCAGGGATATACCTTGATGGATGCCCCAAAGCTCTGCCATATCAATGGAGCATTTGCCGATCGCCTGTGAAAAGCCTAATATCCATTCCCCATAATGACCTCTTATAACTTCCCCAATGGCAGCATCATTCGAGGCATGGTCCCAGCTGCCGTTGGTGTTAAGCTTTACCCATCTTTCCAGAGGTTTGTCCTAGCCAAATTGCACCTCAGTTCTCATTTTCTCCCTTCCATTTTGCACCAAGAGGTCCCCTGTTTCTTTGATTGCCTTGTTGATAAGAGCCACCTTGGTATTAATAGAGGTGGACTTGTTCGAGATGCTGAACTCATTCCTGCACTTCCAAACCCTCCAGCAGGTAATGGCAAAAACTAACTGCCATGGCCAGCATCCAAACTTTCTATTTCTTTGTTGGACTAAATTAACCTTCCACCATAGGGCACGTGAAGAAAGCAGAGTTGGATTCATTTCCTAAAAGTTTCATCTTCACATCCCTTGCAGCATGGCAATCTCGCAGGATGTGTATTGTGTGCTCCATGGCAGCGCCACATAACTTGCAGCTGACATCGACAGTGAACATCTAGCCCTTCTATTAGCATTGGTCATAATTCTATTATTCCAAGCGAGCCATAAAAAATTTTGAATTTTTGGTTGACACTTAATACCCCATATAGCTTTAGCAGTCGGGTGTTGTTCCCCTCCAATATCAGTGATGGATTGGTAGGCGCTTTTGGTCGAAAACTCCCCATTAGATGTTTTACCCCATATTCTTTTATCACACTTGAATTTACTAAGCTCAATAGGCACCACAAGGATTTTCTTCACCACATCAGGCGGCAAAAGATTCTGGAATTTATCAAGTCTCCATCCACCATCATCATAGAACTGATCAACCATTTTGTCAGCATCCTCATCGGGCACAGTCTCATTCACCATGTTGATAAGTGTGGTTTCCGTAACCCATTTGTCTTTCCAATACTTGACCAAGCTTCCATCCCCAAGCCTCCATTTAAGCCCCTTTACAAGTGTTTCTTTTCCTGCCAACATACTCTTCCAGCCATGCGACATGCCTCTAGAGTTAGAAGTAGACAGGAAATCTTTACCTTTTATGTACTTGTCTCGGATGACTTGAGCCCATAGTTTGTCATTCTCCTCTATAAGCCTCCACCCCAGTTTTGCGAGGAGAGTCAAGTTCATGTCTCTTGATGACCTCAAACCAAGGCCACCCATATCCTTTGGCAAGCAAACAGTCTCCCAGTTAACAAGGTGTACCTTCCTTTTATCAGCAATGCTTCCCCATAAAAGGGCCCTGCAACATTTGTCAATCTCATCACACACGCCTGAGGGGAGCTCGCTGGTTTGCATTGTGTAAATAAGCACCGGTGCTGCGGCAGATTTAATGAGTACAGTCCTTCTAGTAAGCAAAAGAGTATTAATATTCCAGTTCGCAAGTTTTTCTTGTACTTTCTCTACCAAACTCCAGTAGGTCTTTTTGGTTACCCTGCTATGGATGAGGGGAACACACAAGTACTTCCCCAAGTCCTCTGTTAATGGGATTTTGGCTCTTCTTGACAGCTCAAATGCCTCTGACTTTCTGATATTATTTGAGGCACAAATTTTAGACTTGGCTAAACTCACTGATTGCCCAGACCAGAGATTGAACTCCTTGAGAGTTTCAACAACAACCTCCACCTGTTTAACAGAAGCATCAGAAAACAAGACAAGATCATCAGCGAAGAAAACATGAGAAATTGGGGGACCAGATTTACTGATTTTAACTGGCTTCCATCTTCTTGCTTCGATTTTATATTGGATGAGATGTGAGAGCCTTTCCATTCCAAGAACGAAAAGGTAGAGAGATAATGGGTCACCCTGCATCAATCCTCTGGTTGGTTTAAATTCCTCAGTCTTTTCTCCATTCCACAAAATTTGGAATGATGTGGACCCCATACAATGCATGACTAGTGAGAGCAGGTTGCTGTTAAAGCCAATTTCCAAGAGTATGTCACGCATAAACCCCCAGTTCATCTTGTCGTAGGCTTTCTCAAGGTCAATTTTCCATGCTAGTGCTCCCTTCTTCCCTTTTTTCTTTCTAAATGTGTGGAGCATCTCCTGTACAATCACAATATTATCAACAATTTGTCTCCCCGGGACAAAGCTACTTTGAGTGGGGGCAACAACTTAGGAAGTAGAGGTTTCAATCTGCTCACTATAATTTTGGATATAACTTTGTAGGCTACATTGCACAAACTGATAGGTCGCAACTGATTAATTGATTATGGATGCTTGACTTTTGGGATGAGGGCGATCAAGGTCCTGTTAAGCTCTTCTGGAAAGGATCCCGTAACGAAGGCTTCACGAACCTGGTTGGTAATGCTTGCTCCCACGATGTCCCAGTTTTTGTGGAAAAAATGGGCTTGGAACCTATCTGGTCCTGGTGCTTTGAATGCACCTATCTCAAACATTGTCTGCTTAATTTCCTCTTCACTAACTGGCCTGTGCAGATCAATAATGTTTTGTTCCTCAATTCTGGGGAAGGTTACTGATGGGTTGGGGTTGACTCTGTCCACAAGAGACTCAGTATATAACCTCTGGTAGTGTCCCACTGCCATGTTTTCAATTCTTACTGTTCAGTAATCCAAGAACCACTATTGTCCTTTAAAGCTCTGACTCTGTTTCTGCTCCTTTTCACAAGGGCTAGAGTGTGGAAGTATTTAGTGTTCCTGTCACCTGACTGGATCCACTCAGTTATCGCTTTTTGAAACCATAGGAGCTCTTCTTGTTTGAGAGTCTCATTGTACTGCTCCTGAAGTTCTCGCTCCAGTTTATTTAGTTAGTCTCCATTACACCTTGCTTTCTGTATACCACCGAGTCTGGCCAATATCCTTCTCTTCTTCTGAAGAATATTGCCGAACGACTCTGCATTCCATTGGGTGAGATCAGCTGCAAGTTGTTCTAGACTGACATGTGTGTGTCCCTCGCTCTTTGCCCATGCATTCTTGAGGAAATCTTTGAAACCAGGGTCGAGGAGCCATGCACTTTTGAATCTAAATGGTTTCATTAGCTTGGAAGGAGGGGGGAAACCATCCGTATTGAGAAGTACTGGGCAATGATCAGATTTATCCACCCTTGGGAGGTGCTTGGCTACTGTATCGGGGAACAAATTCTTCCAACTAGCATTGCAATAGAACTTGTCTAACCTTTCTTTGAGTGAAGCTATGCTTTTTGGGATTTATGCCACGTATACTTTGGGCCAATGAATCCCATGTCCAGCCATTCACATGCTTGTATCACTTCCTGCATCTATGGCAATTGGTGTCTCTAAAATTGGATTTCTTCGAAGAGGAGGCGATTTCGTTGAAGTCCCCTCCAACAATCCATGGTCCACTCGTGTTTTAGATCACTCCACAATTGCTCCCTATTGGAAGGTGTCGGGCTGCCATAAACTGTGGTGAAGTTCCACTGCTCATCCTTCCTCTTAACTGTGACTGTGATTGCTTGGAAGCTCAACTCTTCAACTGTAACATCGACACTTCCACTATCCCATAGCAACCAAATGCCTCCGGAAAACCCTAGCCCTTCGAATAATTTCTTCTGCTCTATCATTTCCTACTCTAGTTTCCATAACACTAACCAACGCCGGTTTGTGGACCCTAATCAGCTCTCTAATACTTCTAAGAAAATCACTTCCTGCGGCTCCTCTAACATTCCACAGAAGGATCTTCATAGGGAATGAGTTTGGATAGAGAGGTGTATCAATGGAATCCACAGATTCCCTCAATTCCGTCGAGTCCACCCTCCACAATTACTAGAATGGGACTATCAATGCTACTTCCAGAATTAGTGGAGGTGGGTTCGGGATCAGTTGAATCTTCAACACGACTGAATTTAGGATCGCCGGCGGGAGGATCACCACTGGTCTCTCCATTTTCGACCCAATCCATGCGAATTGAGAGGGATAAGTCAGTTTGGAAATCACTGGTTCCATTAAGATTATCTAGAAGACTCGGTTAGAGGGGAATGGTGGGAACGAGTGGCGATGCTGTGGGAGGCGGTTGAGCTTGAGAGGGAAGGGTAGTGGGGGTTAGAAGAGGGGTCAAGATCGGGGTTGGTTGGAGGCTATCTCGAGTTAACGACGTGGGGTTGTTGTTCTTTGGATGAACAAGGGTTTGGGTATCATTCGATTTAGGTTTTCTAATGGTGTTTTTGGTCGTGGTGGCGGGGTTACTAGGGGAGGCACCACCTTAAAAAATCAGGCCTTCTTGGGATTTGGGAGTAGCTAGGGAGACATTACTCACCTGAGCTTTTGACAATCTAACTGGGTCGTGAGCCTTGTGTTGGTTGGTGATGTCAAAAAAGGGCCTTAGGGTTGTCATTACCATTCTTGGGCTTCACTGTGGAAGCACTTCCATTTGCTGTTTGAGTGATCTGCTTTTGGGTTTGGACCCGGTTTGGGCTAGTTTGGGGTGCTAACATCTTCCATATTGTTTCCTCTGTCAGATTTTCCATGCACCTTGGAGCTTTGGGAGTTCGTTTTGCTTCCATTATTCCTTCTTGGTTTCCTTTGGGCTACCATCCATGGCCCATATGGAGACGCCACGTTTTCGCCATCATGGTTTGCCTGTTCACTTTTCTCTTTAGGGTCAGCCAAAGATTCCTCCATTTCAGTGGCTTTATGGCTCTCCTTAAAGATTCTCTGGTGGCAGTAAGAGGTTTTATGGCCATAAATACCACAATCAAAGTATATTTCATCAAGACCCTTATATTCAACTCTTAGCCAAACTGTACCTATCATAATTTGCCCCACGAGTGCCTTCCCCAAGTCAACTTCAACGCATACCCTAGCATACTTACCCCGCGCCGAATTTTCTGTCGGTTTGTCAACTTTCACCGTCTTCCCTATCAGATTCCTGGCTGCCACAAGTTTGGATCTATTGAAAAATTCGATGGGTAGTCTCAGAAATCTCACCCAAACGGCGGTTGTTCTAATAGCCACCTGATATGGCCTGAAAAGTGGCTTCCACCGTCTGATGGTAAGGTAGTGGCCGGCCACCAGCCATGGTCCTTTTGACATAACCTGATTATAGTCGTCTGGGTTTCGAACCCTAACCAGGAAGTACTCATTACCGAAATCCACAAGGGAGAATTCCTCCTTCAGATCCCAAATCTGCTTCAGCCTATTAAGGAGGAAGTTGTAGCCCACCGTCTTTCCCAAGACCTTAACAATAAGGGTTTTCTTCTAGGGTTGGCAAAGCTGTTCATGTTCATCTCTGGATATTTTGAGCTTAGGGCAATTTGGTAAATCTGGGCTGCAATATTCCCAATCTTCCCCTTCCACTTCATTATCGACCATGGCCTCTTCCTCCAATATTTCTTCCCAGCTTAGTTTCAGTTTGTAGTTTTTATTTAGAGCAGCATCCCTGAAGCTTAAGGGAGGTGTCACTCTTCTGATCGAGTCAAAAACAACCCTATTGAAGAATTATTTCAAGAAGCAAGAGTTGAAGATTGGAGCTTATTTGCAAAGGATTGAAGCCAAGTCCAGAAGAAGCCCTGAAGTTGAGGATTTTTGGATTATTTATATGGGAATATACTCAGTCCATATAAACATATAATTGGAGTTAAAATCCCAATTTGTAGGCCTAATATCCAAAAGAATATCCAAATCCCGCAATAATCCCGCAGATTTGTGATATAAGCCCGGTTTCAGCGCAGTCTTCGTAGCAAGGCCATAACTTTCTGCTCAGATGTCCGTTTTAAGCCCGTGAGTAGCCGTTGGAAAGCTAACTCCGAGCTTTACAACTTTCTTTTGAAGTGTAAAGCCCAGATCTGCCATCTTCAAGTCCGAATTTCAAGTCGAAGTTCCTGCCAGATTCCAGAAAATTCCAGAATCCTCTTTTGACTTGGATTCTACTCTAGGATGACATCTAATCCAACTTGGAGTCTAAGTCAGCCCTAAACCACCCTACCTTTGTTTCTCCACTATAAATAGCCACCTTAGGACTAGATTTTGTATGAAAATTTTTATTCTCATAAGATATATTGTTTAGTTGAAGATTTGGAGGAGAAAAACCTAGGAGCCGCCGGCCCCTCTCTTCCTCATCCATGGATAAGTTCTCTTCTTCTTATTTGTGGATGCTCACTCAATTTATGAGTGAGTAATCCTTTTCTTTTCTCCAATGTAGAATTTAATTGATCTCTTGACTATTATCATGGTGAGATTTTGTGCTTATATAGGAAAATTGTTTTGGGTATTTCTTAGATCTCTGTTTTAATCCTATGTTGCTTGTTTTGATGGGTTGGAGTCGACACTGCCTTGATAAATTAGGTTAACATTAGCTAGATTAGATCTAGAATTAGAACCTCAGATTTAATCATATGTAGCAATTGGATGAGAGTTAGACCTCCTTCCAAGAGAGATAAGAATCAACGACCGAGAAATTGCTCGTTGTGCTTGTTTATAAATTACTTGTACTTAATGCTTTATTCCTAGACAATCCTTAAGCCCTAGAACGGTAATTGATTGTTGAAAGAGTAAAAGGGGTAGATTAAGCCCTAGAACGGTAAATTTATCTAATTGAGGTAATGTAAGATTTAAATCACCAAGCTGTCCAAGGTTTTCATAATTATTAGATATCAATGATCCATGCTATTTATGTCAAGAGGGAGATTAATTCTATGTTGGAGGGTTTTCTTTAATTGTTTTTCTCAATTTATTCTCTGCTTTTTAATTAATTGTTTTCTTTAATTTTCTTGATTACTTTCTTAGTTAATTTTGTAGTTTGTAGATTTAATTTTAAACTCTTTTCCAAAATTCTCTCTATTTTATTTTTTTTAAG